TTTGATGAATACATGAATTATTTCTTTTGGAACTTCTCACTTATATTTAATTGTGTTATGATTATAATGCTTTCAATTACCTGATCAATAATTGAATGAATAGATGCTAGTCAATTTCGGCACTCGAGAGAGGGGGATTTATGTGTGATCATAAAATTGACACAACGTAGGTTTTATGTGTTTCAAGTGAAAGTGTAAAATCTATGGAACTTACTCCACAAAAGAATCGGGACTTTGATAAATTTTAGGCTTTAATTCGGTATAGAGCTATTGGGATTGAATTCTAGGATTAATTTTTAACCGGCACTCGAGAGAGGGGAGAGAAATACAATTTGATTCTTGCTTTTAAATATGAAAAAATTAATTTGAATAATTTGTTGTCATTGAATCATAATTGAAAGTTAGTGAAATCATTCCCTAGGCTTTCTCATTTTGATAATTTTATATTCTCCAATTTGGTCGTCGCATATTACTTTTGATTAGTNCTCTAATTTTGTCGTAGCATTTTACCTTTGATTAGTTTAGAAAAAATCATTCAATCATTTATTTGTCTAGATAAAATAGAAGTTATATAATTATAGTACTTGATAGAAGTTAAATTACAATCTATGTGGGTTCGACATCCTAAGTTTCATACTATATTATAAAACTTGATACCGTATATTTGCGGCATAAATTCACGTTGTGGAAAACGTATGACACCATCTTTGTTGACTAATTGGTATATATTTTCTTCATCTTCAGCCTTCCAATTGCAGTTGATATTTTATAAATATCTTCTCCTCAAACAACTCCAGATCATCGATTTCAATCTTCTCTACACCAACCCGACAAAGAATACTATTGATTCCTCACTTATGTTGAACAATGGAGAAACAATCTCAAATTTTTATTGTAATACTATTTCTAATGAAATTATGAAAGACTCCAGGAGTGCAGCCAAATAACATTGGCAGAAATGGTGACCAGCTACAAATTGGGTCGGACAACATATAGTGTAAGAAGAAAAAACTAATGAATTGAAGTTATTTTTAACAGAAAAAGAAAAGGAGGGAAAAGCTAATGAATGCAAAAAAAAAAAAACATTAAAAAAAAAATACCGTGTCTCTGCACAACACGGTGACACGGTACTTCAATGCGGAGACATGGTATTTCGTGTCTCCGTATTGTGCGGAGGCACAGAGTGCCCCGTGTCTCCGCATGGCTCTGTGTATCCGCACAATGCGAAAACACGAGATACACGGAGTGCCCCGTGTCTCCGCAATGTGCGGAGACGGGGACGACCGTGTCTTCGCACATGGTCTCTTTTTTAAAAAAGAAAAATCTTATTTTTTTGCCAAAAATTCTATATATTTACATTTTACATAAACTATAAATATAATTTCACTTATTAATAATTTAATTCAAAAATATTAGAAAATATTTCATTCCATACATACATGAAAATCAAAATTCCTTTCGAGGGCGTTGCCTCCTCGACCCTCATGATCTGACCGGTCAGGTCGATCCTCGTAGGGGACGTTGCTCCAGAACTCCCCGAGGGGTACTGCCCCCTCGATCCCTCGCGACCGACTGGGCAGGTCGATCCTGAACACCCACGGGTGCCCCTGACTTGATCGGCAGGTCGACCCCCGTCGTGGGCATCCTACAAGAGGCGTTGCCCCCTTAAACCGCAACACCCCACTCATATCGTATGCTTTCAAAAGTTTCGTTTACTTTATCTTCTCTGCTCCACCTTCATAACGAATATGTGTTGTTGCTTAATTATAAACTAGCAACGTTTTTTTTTGTTAAATCATTACCATATGTGCTTGTAAATTTCAAATGTTTTTGTGAACTTAATTCGGGAATTTATACCATGACCAACATTGAGACATATGATCTTCTTAATGATAAGGAGCACACACTCATGATCAAAATTGTTCGTAATCATAGCAGGCTAAAAATATGGATTCTTTAACAATTCATATGTAGTACTTTTTGTTCCTTGAAGTAATATTTCAGTTATAAAACCAGTAATGCCTTAGTCGATTACTTTTGGTGACACCTTCTTTCACTTTTCCCTATAATACTTGCAACGACTAATATACAAATGAGTATATCTGTAAATTTTTTCATCTTTATACTTTTCATCTATTATTGTCATTAAATAAAGTACATCACTAATTTCTATGCGGATAATAGAAACTCTTTTCCATTTCTATAGAGATCAACTGAAGCTCAGAACTTCAAGGATTATTAGATAACATTTTTCATTACCGTCTCGTTATCAGTTTAAGGCGGGGGCGGGGTCCTTGCCCTGTTTACTATCCGTTTAATTTTTTTTTTTAGTTTTTGATAATTTATTTTTATTACCCACCCCGAACCCACCCCGAGACAAAATTTCTCGTTCCGTCCCCGCCCCGAATACCCGATTAAGCGGGTTATCCTCACCCTGTTCGGGGCGGGCCCCACGGGTATCAAGTTTGTCGCGGTTTTTTGCAATCCCTACTGACCTTTCACAATGCCATCACCATGATACATTAATATTACCTTAAAATACCAAAGCTTGTACATTGTACGGGCGTACAACTAGTTCTAAAATAAGAGTCTACTTTTGGGTCTGCTGGGGCTAGCCTCGTGTCCACACGAGCCAGAGTAGCAATAGCATTGCGTTTGGCTGACTGACGGGCTATTTTAACAAAACCAACTTGATGGATGCGTTGATTTGTAGCCCACATTCTGAAATCCTTTTAAGGTGGGCTAAGAATTTTCCGGTTTTTCTAATGGCCGTATCAAAAACCCGGTCCAGTTACGGGTCACTTTCGTCCACCGACGATCTTTGTGACTTTGTCTCAAGGAATGATTATAAGTTGTTTGTTTGGTTCACCGTTCCTTTGATTTCACACTTCCGCCAGTTCAATTTAATTTGTAGTCACTATATTTTAATCTAAATTTTAATTAGGTCGCTATATTTTAATTTTATACCAATTAGGCCACTTACATTAATTTTGTTTCAATTTTGGCTACGTTGTTCAATCTAACCTTCTGGCTGTTCTTGCTACCTTATGTCTTCCTCTTCCTTTATAAGCTATTAATTCATTCCGTGCCTACCCTAAGGCTAAGGGGAACTGTTTTAAAGATATGTTTTTCTATTTAATAATAAAAAAAAGACGAGTATGGAAGGGTCTAAATCCCCCGTCTTTGGATGAACTACATGCCTTATACTCAGAAGCAAAAAGTTAGGAGAGTGTAGTTCGAGCATTAGAAGGAAGTTGAGGGTATACCAATTTCCATATGTTGGAAAGATACAGTACCCTATCTCCTAACACCATTACACTTGTAGCTAACACCATATACTAACGATCATCCGACACGGCGATAAAAAATGATCTCAAAGAAGTAATACAAAAAGAAAAAAAATCATTTTACACATTAGAGTTGTCGGCTGAAAATGATTTAAATCATTGATTTTTTGATAGAATCACTTCTTTCATGTAATATTTTGATGGGGACATAGGCTGGCTGTTAGTATTTAATGGCCACGTGAATATCTTGCCGTGACGAAATTGAGTGGCCTAAAAATTTTAAAAAAATTAAATGTAGGGACTCAATTGAAAATAAAGTCAAAATTACAGCGACCAAAATTAACCCCGCTTCCCTCCAAATAGATCTGATGATTATCACTCACTGTTGCTGTGCTATTGTGTTTATTTCTTTACTCCCACAATCATCACTCACAGTAAATCTGAATCATTCTACTATTGTTTTGAAAAATTTGAAGGAAACAAAGAACAACGATGGAAAGGGATTCTTCAGATGAAGAGGAGGATCGTGAGAATCTGATCCCACAAAACGACAGGCGAAATGACGGTATAAAATCCCCAAATCATTCACCTGTTGCGAGTTTTCAAATTGACGATTTGAAGTCACGAATCTTAGGTACCACGAGCAGGTTCAATAAGAGGTACCTTTTCGCGATTTTGTTACCACTCGTTATTTTAATTCTTTATTTCACCACTGACTTGAAAAACCTCTTTCAAACCCACATCTCGATTCTAAAAAATCCTGATAATGCCTCTGTTAATCGGATGCGCGAATCGGAACTGCGCGCGCTTTATTTACTTAAGCAGCAGGAATTAGAGCTTTTCAAGCTGTGGAATTATACTGCATTGGTAAATAATAAATCATCTTTGAGTGCGTTAAATAATAATAATGATAATTCGGGGAATTCGAGTTCCATTAGCAGCATTACTATGTTGGAGGATCTGAAATCCAAGTTGTTTAGTCAAATTTCGTTCAATAGGCGAATACAAGGAGTTTTACTGTCGTCACATGACAGTGGGGATTTTGTTGATTTCAATAGCAATTACTCCGATGCAAGTTTTGAGGATTGGAGTAGGTGTAGGAAGGTGGATCAGATGTTATCAGATAGGAGGACTATAGAGTGGAAACCAAGATCAAATAAGTATTTGTTTGCGATTTGTGTATCTGGGCAAATGTCAAACCATTTGATTTGTTTAGAGAAGCATATGTTCTTTGCTGCCCTTCTTAATCGGGTTTTGGTGATCCCGAGTGCAAGGGTTGATTACGAGTTCAGCCGTGTTTTGGATATTGATCATATAAGCAAGTGTTTGGGGAGGAAAGTTGTAGTGACATTTGAGGAGTTTGCAGAGACTAAGAAGAGTCATTTGAATATTGATAAGTTTCTGTGTTATTTCTCATTGCCTCAGCCTTGTTTTATGGACGATGAGCGTGTCAAGAAGTTGAAGGGGTTGGGGCTCTCCCTGAGTAAGGTTGAGGCTGTCTGGAGTGAGGATACTAAGAAGCCAAAGCAAAAGACAGTTCAGGATGTTTTGGCGAAGTTCTCTTCCAACGATGATGTTATTGCTATTGGAGATGTTTTCTTTGCTGATGTTGAGAGAGATTGGGTGATGCAGCCTGGTGGTCCCATTGCCCACAACTGCAAGACTTTAATTGAGCCGAGCCGGCTCATTATAGTCACTGCTCAGCGATTTATTCAGACATTCTTGGGAAAGGATTTTGTGGCTCTTCATTTCCGGCGCCATGGTTTCTTAAAGTTCTGGTACGTTTTTACTTCTTAAAGTCTTGAGTCCATGTTGTACATTGAATGGTTATGGCAACTAACCGAACTTGCTGAATGTTTTTTCAGCAATGCCAAGAAACCAAGTTGCTTTTACCCTATTCCTCAAGCTTCAGATTGCATCAGTCGAGTTGTTGAAAGGGCCAACACTCCAGTAATTTATCTTTCTACAGATGCTGCAGAAAGTGAAATCGGTTTGTTACAGTCAGGTGTAGTCTGGAATGGTAAGACTGTACCACTTGTTCAGAGGCCTGCTCGTAACTCAGCTGAAAAATGGGATGCTTTATTATACCGACACGGGCTTGAAGGGGATGCCCAGGTGAACTTATATATTCTTCTAGGTTCACCATTGTTGATTGAATGCTAATTATTTCTTTGCATAACTGCCAATATTCCATAAGAAATCACGAACCTTAGATCTTTGAATTTTCTACATAGTAGTTTCCATAAATATTTAAAGATGCTGATATTTATCTTGCTGGGATGGTAATGTTCAGTAATACTATTCAATTGTCTATGCACATACTTAATCAACAAGTACATCAATCTTTGAATTTTCTACAGAGAATTTCCTCAAATATTTAAAGACGCTGCTATTTATTTTGTTCGGATGGTATTATTTAGTAATACTATTCAACTGTCCATGCAAATACTTTATCAACAAGCACATCAATCTTGAAGCAGAATAGGTGTTGCTATCTGCATCAACTGTTATTGCTTTTGAAAAATAATATGGGTTCAATACTGCAAGAACCAGTCTATGAGCCATAAGTAGTTTATGTTGGTATGAAATAGAGAACCAGTAGCCACGCCTATGTACCGGATTCTCTCTCTCTCTCTCGTTGTTTTTTGTGAAAAATTCAACTCCACCTTTGTCACGCTTTGTGTCATCATATTTTCGGTGTAGTCTGAAGCTTGGATAAAGGAGGAGAATTGCTTTACGTAGTCTAACAACCAACATATCACTTTATCAACTTCCCCATAAACATGGATTTTCAGAATTCACACACTCGTGTGTCTGAAATTGGTAGATTGTCTGAGTTCCAAAAATATTTTAAATTGTAGAAGTACGTCTGTTAAGGCTAAAATTTTAATTTCTTCATTTTAGGAACAGGTAACATTGTTATTCTCAGTCTTAAAGTTGTAGAGTTCGTTTTATTTTTCATTTTTGGCATGCTACCTTGTGAGTAATATTTTTCCATTTTTCATTTTAGCTATCTGACATTTATCCCAACATAGGTTGAAGCCATGCTGGATAAAACCATTTGTGCTTTGTCTACCGTGTTTATTGGATCCGGAGGATCCACATTCACTGACGATATATTGCGGCTGAGGAAGGACTGGGGGTCAGCATCTGTGTGCGATGAGTACCTCTGTCAGGGTGAACTGCCAAATTTTGTTGCAGAAGATGAGTGAAATCATGCACATTCTTGTTAGAACACCCTGTCCCCCAGGCTGCTCAAAGATAAATTGTTCTTCCACGTTCAGTTTTGCATAATCAAATGAAATTATAGTGGTCGACTATCGGCTCTGGTTTCTGTGGGATGCCCGTTTTAAGAGTCGATCCTACTGAAGATGGAATCTTTGCACGATCTATCGTCTCTTGATATCTCTTCTGATGTACGTATAATAATAATAATAATAATAATAGCGATAGCATATCATTTTTTTAGTTTTTTTTGTTTGTTTGTGTACCTTCTTTCCCCCAAGCTTTGGTGAGTTTTATCTGTTTACTGCATTGAGTTGTGAATCCATGTAAACTGCGGATAAACAGAAACATTTTTGAATTGTGAATTCTTTGCATCTGCTGCTATCGGTGTGTGTTATCAGTCAAAAAATTTTAATTTCTTTTTGAAGTGATAAATTTAATAATTAATAAACTATTTAATTTAAGAAGACTTTGTTTAAAAAAATTGTACAAACAGTAAATTTAAAAATATTAATTTTGCAAGCCTTTAGACAGACTAATAGAATATTATTATATATCTAAGTTTATTTCAAGTACAATGGAAAACAACTCAAATTTCAATATTATGATTTGATATGGGTTAATTTCACAAACGGTCACTGAACTTACATCAAAATCACAAAATGGTCACTGAAGTTCAAAACTTGCAGAAACGGTCACTGAACTTACCTAAACTTTCACTAAAGGTCACAGAAGGACCAAAAACACATGAATTAAATCCTTGAGGACCTCAAGTGTAAATTTCATCNACATGAATTGAATCCTTGAGGACCTAAAGTGTAAGTTTCATCTAATTTCAATTTCTCAAAATCTGCCCCCTGATTCCAAATATTAACCACTTCTCGACACTAAGCTCAGTTATATTTGAAGTGAGGGAGTGACTGGAATGAAGGCTGCATTCACTTTGAATTTCCACGGTTTAGGGTCTTTCAGAGGGTGCCATGGCTAAATAGGGTGGCGTGAGGCCAGGTGAGGAGGAGGGTTGGGGTCAGGAGGTCTTGCCGTCGCCCAAGGAGTTGATCGACTGCTTTCGGATGAAGGAGAGGTGTGGAGGAAGGCTGGGATGAAGGGGCTTTGCCGTCGCCCATGGTGATGGAGTTCGGCGGCCTGGGATGTGGGAGAGGAGTGGATGAAGGTTGGGAAGGCGGTGGCTCGCCATCGCCCCATGATAGCGACCAACGACTGGGGATTAGGGTACGATTTGGGTGGTTTGGGGGGATTAGGGTATAGTGCCAGCACTAAGCTCAGTTTCCACTTTGGAGCCACAAATCACGACTTTCCAACAGCGAAAACCACTAGATCCAACCACATTGAGCCTCGCCTCATTCCCCTCTACAATCTCCAACCAACCACCAGCCACAAAGCAAAGGAAGCAGTAGAAAATCTAGCACAAAAACACAAATTTCGCACACCCCTTTTCTACATAAAAATGATATCTTGATAATTCTTGGTTTCGGCAACAGAGACTATCAATTTGTTAAATGATGAGCTGGGTGGCAAGGGTTGCATTTGGAGCATCTGATAAAAGGTTTTTAACGCATTATTGATGTTGATTTCGGTTCTCATTTGGATGGTTTTTTTGGGTGCTTGTGGTGATGGTGTTTGTGTAGAGGTGGCGGTAGCGGTGGTGCGGTAGAGGTGGCGGCGGCGGTGGCGGAATTGGCTGGAATTGGAGGTAAAACAGTGCGTAGGGATGATTTTTTGAACTATAATTTCATTTGATTTTTTATCAGTTAGGGCAGCTTGTTTGTATAGGATTGTGGAAGGGAGGGGGGGGGGGGGGGGAGGGGGGGTTGGTGGGGTAAAAATCCGATGGTTTATTTCGCGGTATGGCGGTCGAATTGGGCAATTTCCGATGCCGGCTCCATATGGTGTAGGTGGGAGGAAAATGTGGTGATTCTTCAAGTTAGGGGCAAAATTTGAGCAAATGAAATTAGATGAAATTTATACTTGAGGTCTTCAAGGATTCAATTCATGTGTTTTGGTCCTTCAGTGACTGTTAGTGAAAGTTTAGGTAAGTTCAGTGATCATTTCTGCAAGTTTTGAACTTCAGTGACCGTTTTGTAATTTTGATGTAAGTTCAGTGACCGTTTGTGAAATTAACCCGATTTGATATAACACTTTATTTAATAGAATTATAATTTTCACCCAATTTTATTTAAATTGTATCTTCCAGAAAAAAATAGAACCTTTGAAACAACAATTATTAATCTATTTGTTAATTATGTAGATTGATTTAAAATTTATTAAAAGTTCTTGACCTTCATTTTCTAAAATTCATTTCTAATTATACATTTTATAGAACGCACAATTTCTATCGATTTTTCAACTATGCGTCTCATTAATTTTTATTAAAATCTTTTAAAAATTTAATTTTTATATAAATTTTAAGATTAATTGAACATAATCATAGGGAAGTTTGTTACCTATGAACTTGGTCAAACTTCACTTAACAATGGTAAGCCTACGTGGATTCCATTTCATCGTCACCCTCCAAATACTCGCAGCACTCGGATCCCGCCGCTTGTTTCTATGCTGCCAATTTTCATCTTCAAATCAATTTCCCAGTTCAAAATAAGCGTAAAAATCCGTTCAAGATTACTATTCAAGCATGAAGGCTCGATTGGTTGTGTTTCCTATTAAAGGGAGGACCTGGTGTTTTAGCAGTTCCATTGATTCCGCCACAGTAGCCTCTCAATCTTCCAACGCTCCTTCCACATTCAAAGACCTCTGGAAAACAATTTTTTCTTCTCCACGCAAAACAAATAACGCTTCTGATGGCTTGAAAGTTGAACTTGTTGTGGATTTTGCTGCGGACAAGGTCTGAATTCATTTTATTGAAAATGTGTATTGGGTTTTGTTCTTATGGATTAATGCGTCAAGGGTTGTTGTAATGCTTGTTGTTCTTGCTATCATTGACTAATTTGTAGCGGGTTATGGCTATTCTAGATTAATGCGTGATGGATTGTGATTGTAATGCATACAGCTTGTTAATGATTAATGCTTAAAGGGTTGTGTTGATGTATGTGTATGCAACCTGTATAGATGAATAGAGCTTGGACTAATCTGGAGAAGGCGCCTCAAGGGACTTTGAAGAACAAGATTCATTGGTATATTTAAATTCCCCATAATTTTATGTCTCTTTTGTTTGAGATTTATTTTGTCTGGGAATGAATGTTGGTACTGAAATTTTAATTTGGGGAAAAGACAAGAAAGAAATAATGTGATTTGAGTTATTTTGGTGAATATTGATTGGTATGGTGAAATTTAGGGTTGGATTGAAGCTGTTGTCACGTGTGAAGCCAACAGAGATTTTCTTCAAATCCATTCCAAAGGAGCTTAAATGTGTAGAGATCACATATCCATCGAGGTTTTTGAATTGAATTCCTTTTTGTTGCATTTTCTTCAATTTTATTGGTTTCATTTTGACAAGTAAAGAAAGTCTTTCTGGCCCATTAAGCAAAGAATTGTAATCTGCAAAATATTTACATAGACTTGTTACTCTACTAACAGAAATCATGATCGCTAGATGAATTATTAAATTCTGTTGAGTGAGAACATAGTACTTTCGTACAGCAAAGTTTATTCATCTCGATTGAAATATTTGATTAAGGCAGGGAAACCATGTTGGTGCCCAACCCTAGGTAAACTAACGGCTGCACATGAATAGCCTTAAGCGAATGGGCAACATGGGGAAGATCCGTGCTTGTACATAACAATTGCAAATATTTGAGGATGCCTAATGTCTTAACCCTCACACACCCTACACACTACGGAGTAGAAAAAGTGACTGAGGACAACTTTTAGAAAATCTCTCATAAATCTTTCTACGATTGTTATCTTGGTGGGGGTGTTCAATTTGGAGTATATGGCCAATGAGTTTTGTGATTTCTTGGCGACAACTTTTTGAAGAAAGGAAGAAATTTCAATGATTTTTTTAGCTATCTTGGTATCAACAGCAGCTTGGAATGTTGGGTTGATTTGGTCACTAATCATGTTTCGTTTACTACTGAATTTAAGAAGAGAATAATGAAATTATGATCCTGGAATTGTGGAAAAGAAGAAGAAATATGGAAGAAAAAGAATAAGAATGTGTTGGAATAGAATGTAGAGTTCAAGAACCCACTCAAGGAAGCCACATCACACTGTTTCAACATAATATCATTATTTCATTCATGATCATATCAATTAAAAATTAAGAGATCAGTAGATTACTTTACTATTTATAGACTTACGAATAAGGATTAAGACTCTAGATAGGAAAGTCAAGGATACAGATCTTTGATCTTTAAATATCATTCTAGGACTAACTAGATTCTTTCCAAGCAAGCAGTGTAACTGAAATTATTTAAAGACTCTTGGACCCTTAATATTACCCATTCCAACAATTATTAAAAGACCAAAATACCATTCTATCTAACACGGATGAATCCTAAATCCTAAATTCTAGCAGCTTATTCACTGAATTCTTTTGTTTCTTGCAGTTCTGTGCTTCAATTGTTTCACAAGTACACTTTAACTGAGTAAAATTATGTCAATGTGGAAGAAGTGATTAATATCTGCACATATATATACTGGTACAACACGTTTCAGTGTATATAATCTGATTGTTACGGTTTTTGGTATTAACTTTTTTCGATAATTTACAGTTTGAATCCACGACTTGTCCGCAGAAGATTACGGCATATAGCCTTCAGGTAAATTTATGAATATACTTCGTTATCATTTTTCCCACCTTGATAGTTGGTTCTAGCATTCATATTATTATCGATGCTGCATCTTATATCAGTGTGGGTTTGCAATAACTTAACACAACAATGTGCCTGCTAGAATTATACAAAGCTTCATATTGCCTTCCATATTTACACCAAAAGTCTTGGGAGAACTATAACAAAGTTTGGAAGCAGTTTCACTGGTAAAAATTTGAACCCCACGAATATTGCATTAAATGAAATGCCTTTGTTGTTTTGAGGCATTGAATGTCATTGCTGTCAACTATTCTAGATAAGGAATACTTCATTCCATAAACTGATCAACTAGAGGAATTATATTGCTAAGTTTAAATTGCAAGCAGCACAAACTAGTTTCACTGTGGATTCTCAATGCTCCCTCTCAAGCAGTCAAGCTAGACAATAAACTTGTCGTTCCAGCGTGCTATGTGTTTCTTGAAATTGAGGCTTCATCGCTTCAGTAACCATGATGTCATAAGTTAGCAATTGCTTATAGTGGACTAGAACGGCTATCTTTTTTGTGATCAAATGTCAATTGTCTTCAACGTGCTTTATTTTTCGATGTTAAGCTATAATTGCATGAAGCTTTGTTGCAATAATCCTTCATACCGTTCTTCATTTTGGTTCCTTTGAGAGAGAATTTGGCAAATGATTCCTAGTGCCAAAGCAATAGCCACTAGGGATAAATATATAAGTTGGCCCACTAACCTTTGGTAATGTTTCTTAGTCACTGTTGCGCTTGTTATAAGTGCTCCCACTTTGTGATTGACATGAGTTGGGGCATCTAGTTGTGAGCTATGATGTTCGGACTCGAGCATGGATATCGGCTACGGGTACACATTTAAGTGTCAAATCTTTTATTTTTTAAACTGTAGGATCTGGGGACATGATTTAAAAAAGTCTAAATTTCGGACACGGGTACATGGGTACGCCTTTAAAACTTCAATTTTTCCCCAAAAATTCACATGTAAAATTTAAATTATAATTAAATGACAAATTTTATATATTTATATGATTTTTTCGGATATTTATTCTAAAGGGTTGTGAGTTGTATTTTCCACTTATTTCAATATCTGTGCAACTAGAAAACTAAGTATGAAAGATGAGCTGAGTGACCAACTAGGACACATTAACTATGAGTTATGGGAAATGAAAAAGATAAGCTAGTTTTTGGAAGGAAATTGCCGTGAGATATTTTTGCTTAACAAAATTAACGGATTTCACAAGTAATGACATTTCCAATTGGTCGATATATTCCTTGAGCCCATATACTCGTTGGCCGAACTCATTTGAGTCCAGTTAAGTACCGCTTAAATCCCAATAATCTATATCCTACTACATAAACCTAACATTTAGCTGTACAAAACTGTAGTTGCGTCTTCTTCGATTCTCGTGAGTGCTTCAGAAGTTCAACCTCTTCTGCCTAGTTGTCCCTCGTCTTGTGAGCTCTACACGATTTGAATCTGAATCAATCTAGTTCTGGTATGGAACCCGTCCCTTTTTCTCCCGTTATTGTTCCTGTCGTGTCGGCTTGAAAATTGAAGGATCCGCCCCATATTTGATACCCATACTTGTGTAGACTCGGGTTGCGGACCGGAATGCCAAGTCCGAGCATCACAAGTTGTGTGCACATGAGTCCAATATCATTTAATTGATAACTACAGTTCTTCGTGACACATGAAATTTCTCTTTTGATTTGTTCACCTCAATATCAAGGACTTAGTTTAGATCTGTTATATTCTTCTCTCAATCTCTTGGCAATGGGGGAATCCTTTGGATTATGTATTCAACCTAGTTATCATTTGTAATGACTCGAGCCACTATGTCCAAGCAGTTATATCACACGTAGTGTCAATTTTGGGAGAGTCTAAATTCATTTTACCTCTAACGTCGACAAGCCGTGAGAGGTAACTTTTGATTTAACGGCTTCGACATGGAGGCTCGAATCCTTACAAAAAAAGTACCCCCCGAGCCTCTATGTCCACACAGTTGTATCATACGTAATGCGTTTTTTCGTAACGACTCGAGTCTCTATGTCCAATCCGTTATATCACACGTACTGTCCCATTTGGGAGAATCTAAATCCATCTTACCCTTCATGGATTTTTGTTCCGTCCCCCAAGATTTGAATCTAAGACCTCCGCCTTATGATAAACTTA